GCTAAAATGGGCTGGGGTTTGCTTCCTATTTATGTGCTCTGGCCTGCCTTGCCAGTGCTGGTAAGGGTGGGGGTTTTTGTTTTGCTCCTCTGGTAGTTCTTTGATTAGCATATGTTTGCTGCTTGATTATGTGCCTGGTGGTAACCTTTGCTTATCTAGGTGATGATTGCTGGTGATGATTGCTGGTGACTGATTGTTGGTGAGGCGATCTTCTGGTCTTTTGTCTCTTTTGAATAGTATGTAGATGCTGTTTATCTCTATGTGTCTGTTAATTGCTGCCTTGTCTGAATACTAGATGCTGTTTATCTCTATGTGTCTGTTAATTGCTGCCTTGTCTGAATACTAGATGCTGTTTATCTCTATGTGTCTGTTAATTGCTGCCTTGTCTGAATACTAGGCTTCCAAGAATTCTCTTGCATATTTGGATTTAGCTTGTCTAAAACGCTGACAGTTTCCCAGTTAAAACTATGGTTCAGTCAGTCCGTGTGTTGTGAGATTAAGGAATTTTCATCATGTCTTCTGACTGCTAGTTGGTGCTCGTGGATGCGCTCTGCTAATCTTCTACGTCTGTCCTACGTAGTATACTGTTGTCTAGGCTGCAGTTTTTCCTCCTGTCTGCCAAGATCATTGCCACATACCGTTACATAGACCTGCAATCTTCAGTACTGTTGACCACAATATCCTTCTGGACTACAACAAGGATTTGGAGTTGGTTGTTGCCTAAGAAGGCAAGTCCCATCAGTGGTGTTAGGGACAAGGAGAGATCAAGCCCTTGGGCGCTCTGTTACAGGGTTGCCTCAGAGTTCAGTCCTTTCTTCTATTGTGTTTAACATCTACATGGAGCCACTTTGAGAAGTCTTCTGCTGGTTCAGGGTGAGGTATCACCGGTATCTCCACCCCAGGCCCAATTGGAGTATCTCCACCTGAAGCCCAGCTGGAGATGTGATAAGAAGAAGTTCTAACCCAGTGCCTGGGAGCTATCAGGATCTGGATGCAGCAAAACAGGCTCAGACTCAACCAAAGCAAGACTGCTGTTAATTCAGAAGCCAGGACTAACTTCGCCTCTTGGTAGAATTGGTCACCTCCAGAGAGAACAGGCTTGCAATCTAAATGTCATGGACTCACAACTTATACTAGAAGAGCAGGTAGAAGTCATGGCCATGTGGGCTTTGATCAGCTTTGGCTGGTGTACCAGTTGCAGCCTTACCTGGAGTATGAGGCATTGAGAACAGTTTCTTGTGCCCTTACCATCTCCCAATTAGATTACTATATTTCACATTACATGGGGCTGCCTTTGAATACCAACCAGAAACTTCTGCTGGTCCAAAATGCAGTAGTTCATCTGCTCACTAGCCAGTGATGGTGCTGCCTTACTACACCATTGCTGCAGAAGTTGCATGGTTACTAGTATGTTGCTGAGTGCAATGAAGATTTTAATTGGTATCTTTAAAGTCCTATATGGTTCAGAGCCTGGGTATTGAAGAAGCTAACTCTCCCAGATAGAGTTTGGCCACCTGATCAAAATGGCCAAGAGCACCTGCTAATGATCTCCAACTACCAGGAGGTGCAGCAAAAGGAGCTGTATTCTGTGAGGGCTTCCCTCTTATGAAACAGCCTACCTACTGAGGTGAAGATGAACCCCATTTTCATTGTCTTCTGGAAGCTGGTAAAAATCTAGCTCTTCTGGAAGGCCTTTAGGAATTGACTATGGAGTTATTGCCACCAGTGTTCGTTTTAATTATGGGTACTTGGTGTTCTCTGGTTGTTTTTCTGCAGATGTTTCATTACCAGAATAGGTAATCATCATACTTGAGGGAGTGGAGTTTACTGGTTGTTTATATATAGTAGTTTCCCCTGCCAGTTTTGGTTGGGGATTTGGGTTTTTTCTTGACGATTTCTTGATTTGGATATTGTTTCTTCCTTGATTGTTTTCTGGTGCTGTTTTCTACTTATCAGACGCTGGTTGCTAAGGAATACATGCCTTGACTTTTGGTTTTATCTTTTAAATGGTATATAGATGGGATTATCTCTATAGTCTTAATGATCAAAATGTATTTTTGTGTTATTTATTATTTATTTTTATTTTAGTATCTAGTAGCCTAGAGTCCATTGGAAAGGGCAACTACAACTAGTTATTTCTACTGGTAGAACCTTTGCATGACATATATTTTGGTGTATAATTTCCAAATTCCAAGTTAAGATTTTAAAATATTTTCCCAATCATTTGAATATGAATTTTAATTTTCAAAAAAAAAATCTATACTTTACTATTGTTTTTACCATAGTGTATAAGCCTGTTTGGGAAAATACAGTATATGACACATGTAATGTAAATGCTAAAAGGAATCAACTAATAGATCAGTAAGAAAGGGATTTTTCTACAGTACATATGATATTACATTGTTCAAAAATGATAATCATTTAAATCCTCTTTAAAGTTTTTCTTCCTTTCTCAGCAACAGCAAGTAAAGGTGGTGTAATTCAAAACATACCCAAAAAAGAAGCTGAAGTTGTAGCCCCTAGGAAAAAAGGTACAGTAGCAGCTCAGAAGAATGTTAAGTCTTCAGCTAAGGCATCACAGGAAGGTACAGTTTCAGCAGAAGAAGAAATTCTTATTCTTCCTACCATTGATGAAAATTTGCTTCAACAGGTGAGAGATGTGAATTAATATGTAGAACCCTAAATTCTTTCATAGTGGAATAAACATCCTATCCAAAATCTGTCATTCATGTTTCACCAAGCTACACAAGATGACACAACATTTTGTGAAACTTAGTCTCATGAGATTTTCCCACAAGCATGGCAAAATCTTGCTACAAAGAAAGCAAGCCTGATTGCCTTTTCCCAGGATGGCTAAATCTTTTTGCTTATTTTAGCAATAATACCATTCAATTTCATTTCCACATGATATGCAAAAAAGGTTTATTTTCTGAAATTATTCAAACGTATAAATGTGTATTAAATTATGGATTTTATCAACATTTTTAAATCTGAAAAGCAATAAAAGTTGAACTTTAGTGGAATGCCACATTCTATGTAATTAAGATAGTGATTTGTATGACTCTAGTGTTTTTATTAATTTAACAATTTTATGAGATTTAATGTTATTGATTTTGGCTTTTTGCTAAGGCGTTATAGTTCAACTACCTTTACCATGAATGATTTTTTTTTATTTTGGTTTTTGTTATAGCCTAGATTTCTCATTGCTTATGCCTTAGCATGGATGTCTTACAGTGGATTATGATGTTATACAGTGGAACTACCAAGAACTGTATTAACATTAAAGAATTGCAAAATCAAATAAAGATAGAGGTTCCCACTGACATGTTAAGCTGACAGATCAGATCAGTTGTTTTTATATAAATTTGCCATGATTGAATTCATCAAACATCCCTGTTCTGGCTCTTCTTTCCTTCCATTTTCTGAAGCCATGATGCTTTAAAATAGCAATCAAGGAGGATGTTATTGATTTAAACTAGTAACTTTATATATGAAATAGTAATATATTGTGTTTCAATTTTACAGCCCCACAAATATATTATACAAGCTTCAGTGTTATATAATAGTTGGCCACTTACTGAAAGTCAAGTGATATTTGTTCAGGCACTGAAAGAATTAGAAAAAAATGAAATCAAAGGTAAGTCACTATGTTAGGTATTTATTTTGTCTTGATGAAAACTGTCATAGTGGTTATAACTAATTCTTTTTTAATAAGCTTTATTCATTTATTTCCAATATATCACCACCTTCCAGTGTGATTCTCAGCAGTTTACATAAGAGTAATAAAAACTAACAGTGAATAAAAAAGAATAAACATCAGATAATAATAATGAATGATAACCTATCATCCAGTCATATTTACAAATCAAATGCTCCAAACTGATGGGACTCATGAAGAAATACTCCCTACCACACCCCAGACTACTCACCTCTCAAATGAGGAAGAGAATTAAAGCATCCATTCTTGTAATGAGTGGATTTTGTAAATGTACGTGGGTAAGTTTATGGTAGTGTCAAGAGTAGATCTTGGAGGAAAATTGACATGGAAGAACAGGAAAGAAATAAAAGTAGAAAGACTGCAAGAAGAAAAAGCACAAGTCCTGAATAAAATCATATTAAAACATAGATTACTCTCTCAACTGAAGAAATGTTAAGTAGACAGAAAAAAGGGATGCATAAGCTGTTTGGAAAAGAATGAAAATAATTATGCTAATGGAAAATGTGAAAAAGGAAGCATGTGGAATGATGAAATGAAAGAGGCTGTGGATTGGGGAAAAATGCAAATAAGAAAATAATTGCTGCAAAAAAGAAGAGAAATATTTTCTATGAAGAATGGAGAAAAAGATATTGCATAGAATGAGCCAGACAAAAAGAAATGGTTGAGCTTAAAAGAGGCAAAACTATTTTGATGGAAGCAATTTTTTTCAAAGTGGATGAAAAGGGATAAACAAGGGACTTCCAGCAGAGTGAATGCAAATTGCATTTGGGGAATGCACTGCAATTTAGGAAATGCAGTGTGGCTTTCTGCTGGACAGAGTACACGCAGACCACATTTTTGCCCCTCAGTAGGTCATTGAGAAATATATAAATACAAACAAAAAATTTCTTGTATGTTTTCTGATTTAGAGAAAATGTAAAGTGAATAGGGTTGAATTATGGAATGTTGTACATAAATATGGAATTGAATGTTGGTTGCTGAATGTGTTAAAATGGTGCATAATGGAATAGAACATGTGTGAGAATAAATGGTTACTAAATGGTTCAAAGGATAGGTGATAATCTCTTGGTTGTTTAATATATTTATGAATAAATGTGTAAAAAGTACTTGTGGTGACATTACAGGTATGCTGTTTGGGGGTGTGAATGTATGTGTTGGTTGAGAACCTGAGTGATTTGCAGCAAACATTGCATAGATTGTATCATGCAATGAGGAGCCTAGATCTGAAAATTAATAAAACTGAGGTAGTTGTTTTGACAAGTTATATACAAATGGCAAAAAACTAGAGCAAGTAGGTAAATTTGTATATTTTGAGGAAGATGGGGAAATGAATGGAGAAATTTTAAGATATACAAATGTCTGTAAGAAAGTAGTAAATGGTTTGTTGCAAGGAATCATTGTGGGGGGAAAAAAATTTAATTGCTGGGAATAAGATTATGATTTTGCCAGCTTTGTTATACAAAAGAGTTGGTTATGTTAAGAGAAACATAAAAGTAAATTTAGTGCAGTGAGAATAGGGTATCTAAATGTGTGTGGTAAAACAAGAAGAGATGAGTGCTGAATTAATATGCATTGAATGCAAAGATGAGTGATCGGTATCAAGAAAACACATTGAGGTGGTTTGCTCAGATAGAATGAATGACAAAATCACAAAATAATGTATGAAGGAAGAGTGAATGAGTTCAGAGGAAGAAGACGACCAAGGAAGTCATGCAACCCTAACATGTACATAAATAAGCAGGTGAAATAAGGAAAATTAAAGATAAACATACACAAATATATATTACAATGAAGTCAGATAATTTTAGAAAGTATGCACAGTTGGGAATAAATGTAATGAGAGCAATGTGCTTGAAAATGCATCTGCCTATTCATGTATACATTTTAATGTTGTTGCAAAATACTTAAAATAATACAGAAAAGAACTGAAACAAACTGTCAGAAAAATAAGAATGTGATTGAAATCAAAACTGACAGATTCTCTCATGTCTACCCAAATGTACTTTACTGGTAATTTCCAGAACATGGTGCATTAATAGAAAATGTCCGCTTCACATCTTAGCATTTCTTATTTCATAATATAAGGCAACAGTGCCATCTGCAGTAAATTGTTATTGTCTAGTTTAACTAGCTAGAACAGAGCATGTAGATAATTTTTTAACATTTTTAAATTAATGGGGATAAAAGTATAAATTTTAGAAGATGTCTCCTGGTTTTATTCCAGTAGAAAAAATATGCAGTTATGCTAGGAAATAAATGCTGAGGAGAAGACACAATTTTACTTTAAAATATTGCCCTATAATGCCAGCATATGGCAGAGAGAACAAGGCATAAGGAAACCATAGAATTTTTGTTCTCAGAAGTATCGTTTTATATGCTCCCTGCTCTTTTCTTGAGCAGTATGAAATTCAGAATAATAGACTTGAAACAATAGTAAATATTTCCAATTACTTGCAGCAGAGTTATATATTTACTGCTGTTTATTAGATTTATATCCTGCCTTTCCTTCAGGAGCTCAAGATAGCATACACAGCACTCCCGCCTCCCATTTTCCCCTACAACAACCATGTGGGGTAGGGTGGGCTGACAGAGAGAGTGACTGGCTCAAGCTGACCCAGTGAGCTTCTGTGGCTGAGGGTGGCTTTGAACTTGGGTCTCTGGCTGTTTGGTGAACAACCCCATCATTGCCAGTGCAAGAGGCTAAAATAGTAGCTGTGTGAGAAAACCAGTCTCCTTGGATTCATTCCCAGCTGTATTTAACCAGTGATGTTGAGTATTGATCAGGAGTTTGGTACAGGTAGTCCTGACCATTTGTTCAGTGACTGTTCAAAGTTATGATGGTGCTGAAAAAATAACTATACAGCCTATACATTTACAGCCTTTGCAGCATCCTTCAATCGCATGATTGCCATTACAGTCAGTACGCATTGTCCAGTGCCTAACCTGCTTTTTCTTTCTTTTTTTCCCCCCTTGCAGAGGAGAGAGATTGGAGAGAAAGAGATTGCAAGAAAGTAAGCTGTTTGCTCTTCTATATATCGTAAGCAATGCGATCATGCCAGCAGCCCAGGGTTGGGAGCCGTGAGCGCACTATGCAAACAGTTTACAGTACTCTCTTGAAATCTTTTTCTCTCTAATCTCTCTGCTCTGCAGGTTGGTGAGGGAGAAAAAAAGAAAGTGATTTCTGTAGACAGTCTCTCTTTGCCTGACCCTTCCCCACTGCTGGCACGATCGCATTGCACTCAATGTGTAGAAGAGCAAACCTCTTACTCTCTTGAAATCCTTTCCTCTTCAGTCTCTCAGCTCTGCAGGGGAAGGGGAAGATCAGGCAAAGGAGAGATTTCTGATAGAAATTGCTTGCTTTTTTCTCCTCCCCACTTCGTAGAGCAGAGAGATTAGAGAGAAAGGGGTTTCAAGAGAGTAAGCTGTTTGCATAGTGCGTCCACAGCTCCCAGCCCTGGGCTGCCAGTCCAATCACACTGCTTTCAGTGTATAAGAAAATAAGCAGGCACTCAAGCATTCAAAAGGGCGGGGAAGTGGTTAGGAGGCAAACAAAAGCCGAAGGTGTGAAACTGAGTACAGGTAATCCCCAATTTAAGAACAAGTTCGTTCCCAAGGTCTGTCCTTAAGTCAAATTTGTGTGTAAGCCAAAACAGTATTAGTAGTATTGTGTAATAAACTCAAACCATTGTGTATTTAACTCAAATCATTATGTATTTAACTCACGTTTTACTATAGTAGGCTCCATTCTTAACTTTGGGTCGTCTATAATCTGGGCATTCTTAAACTGTGGACTACCTGTAGTCTTGTCTCTTTCCAGCCAGAATGCACAGTTGAGGTCACATGATTTCCCACTTAGCAGCCACTTTGCTTAGCAGCAGAGTTGCCAGTCCCAATCAGGGTCATTAGCAAGGACTACCTGTAATGGCACAAGACAACTAAGAGGGAGATCATAGAATCATAGAATTGGAAGGGACCTAAGAGGTCATCAGGTCCAACCTTCTGCACACTGCAGGATTCACTACACCATCCCCAATAGATGACTATCAACCTCTGTTTGAAAACCTCCAGTGAAGGGGAAGAAACCACTCCATGCGGCTTGAATTCAAACAATCCAATCAGTTATTGACAGCTCTTACTGTCAAGAAGTTCTTCTAATGTCTAATCGGTACCTACATCCTTGAAGTTTGATCTCATTAGTTCTAGTCTTACCCTCTGGAACAAATGAGTCCAAACTCTACAGCAGTGTTTCTCAGTCTTAGCAAGTTTAGGATGTGTGGGCTTCCAATGTGCTAGCTGGGGAATTCTGGGATTGAAGTCCACAACATCTTAAAGTTGCCAGGGTTGAGAAACATTGCTTTACGGTGTGACAGCCCTTCAGATAATTGAAGACAGCTATCATGTCCTCTCTCAACCTTCTCTTCTGCAAGCTAAACATACCTAGGTATTTTAACCATTCCTCTGGATAGATAAACATATCCAAGTAGTAGGGAATTCCTCTCCTATTGAAGAAAGACTATTGGTAAAAGAATAAGGGTGACTGAGAATTCCTCCTCCTCTTCCTATGTAGACTGAGATCATCCCTCAGGTCTAAATTTCATCCAGATTGAGTTTCCTTTGATGAAGGAAGTTAGAATTATCTTTATAAAAAAATAGTTTGCAAATGTAGAGATTGAACAGGAAAAGAGTGTGAAGCAAACCCATTAATATCACCACAGTAGAATCCTAAAATGATGTTTAAAACTGAAGGTCAATTATATTTTGAAGGAAATATATGAAATTTATATGGAGCAGATTTCCATCTTTCTCAAACTATAGCCTCACTTCCAAAGGAGCTCACTTCCATACATAGGGAAATTCATTGTAAATACCTCAGAACCACCATGGAAAATTGTTTGATACAATATTTTATTCAGAAATGAATTATCTTTTCAGTTGTCAATCACTGGGTATGCCTCCATTTCTATTAATGATTTTCTCCTTTCAAACTAGTGCTGGGCCAAGTGTTCAACCCATTTTTCTCCAGTTTTATGTAGAAGGGTAGGCCAGAAAGACATTTCAAAGACTTCCCTATTTTAGATAGGGTAAACCTTGGTTTTAACATTGCTTAGATTGGATCCAGCAGATTCCATAAAACTAAAAAATTTAGATACACAATAAAACTAAGCAGAGATAATTCTCCATAATCATTCCCACATATGAAATATATTTTAGCCTCCCCTTCTGGATATCTAAGCTAGAAGTCTCTGAACTTACTCGGTTCTGTTAGTTAAAGAGAAACAAATTTTGAATGGAATATTGCTGCTTTTATGTTAGCTTTGTGGACTAGTCTTGATATAATGTTAATTTTTTGGATATTGCATAGAATGTATGTAGATCTGCATTTTGCATATATGAATAGGTACCTCATCAGCATAAGAGCACAGAATGGGAATTGTATTCCAAAGATGTCTGTCTACCAGAGGGTTGCTTCTGCTTCACCTCCCTCCCCCTGTGCTGCCCTACACATCTCCCCTGCCTGCTCTGGAAGGTTAGGTGGAGAGGGAGTGGAAAGGGATAGGAAGTCTTACTGCATGAAAAGACCACTCACATGATGTTGATTTGTGCACTTTCAATATGCTAAATATTGATCTGAAAGTAGACATTCCAGCACAAATGTTTCAAATGATGACTGTTTAAAATTGTCATTTAAATAAAATTATATGCAGCTCGTCCTGTTGAGAAACATGAAGAGAATATATCTGTCTTAAGTCCAGACATTCACAGCAATTTGGAAGGTCAAAAATCTGCAGGTTCTTCCAAAACCACTAGAAAAACAAAGGAAAAAACAACTGATAAAGCAGAAAAAGCACCTAAAGAGAAACCCACATCTGCTATTAGACCAGAATCACAGGTAAGAATAAATGTTTGTAGATGTTCAAGTAGCAGTGTAGATTTCTTTGCCTGTTAGCCCACTCCTGTCTGCCCCATAATACAATTGAAGGGAAAAACAGATATTTTTCTTCTTTCTGTTTTTTACCCCACCCCACCCCCACTCCCACACCCAACATTAGTATAATGGCTGATAGTTGAACTCTGGTGTCTTGCTGTCTTGAGATACCTGTCTTGGAATCCAGAATGGTGCCCTATTTGATAGTATATTATGGCATTCTTAACATTTGCTGCAACAATGACATAATACAGTTAAGCTACAGTTTGCATTATTATGGTCACAGTTGCCCACACATGGGGTTTGAAGGAAAGAGATTACAGGTAGTTCTCGCTTAACTATTCATTTAGCAACTGTTCAAAGTTATGGTGGCACTGAAAAAAGTGACTTACGGCTGGTCCTCACACGACAGTCACAGCGTTCCCTGGTCACATGATCACCATTTGCGACCTTCCCATTTGGCTTCCAAGAAGCAAAGTCAATGGGGAAGCTGGCAGGAGGTCACAAATCACGGTCACATGATGCCTCACTTAACAACCACAGGTGATTTGCTTAACACCACAACTGGGACTGCCATCACTAAGCAAGGCAGCCACATGATGTTTCGCTTAGTGATGGAGTTGCCAGTCCCAATTAGGCTTGTTAAGCAAGGACTTCCTGTACCTTTTTTTTCAGGTAGATTGATGGTGTTCCAGATAAGAAAATGTGACAAATATAGTTTTAAAATTCAGATTGCATGGTTTAAATTTTTTTAACTGAAAGTTGGTGAGAGTCAAGTTTTGTGAGATGAGTGGCTATATAAATTTGCTAAATAAATAAATACATTTTATTAGACATAAATAGTTGGTTGCCTGCTAGCATGTTGAAAATTATTAAGATTCCTTGTCTGGGATTAAGCAGGAAAACAAACGTTTTAAATTGGCAGATATGTTTGTATGTTTGCTTCCTTTTCTTTTTTTTCTCATTAATGTTCCTTAAATGATTGACTGATTATGTGCCATTAAGTTAATGTTGACTCTCAGCAACCACATAGATAGACTTTGTCCATGACAATCTGTCCCTAACCTGATCCTTCACATGTTCCAACAGTGCTCCCATCACCACTGTAACTGAGTCCATCCACCTTGCTGCTGGTCAACCTCTTCTTCTATTTCCTTCCACCACAAATGATTAGGAGACCATATACATCTCGTGTTGGCCAAACAATATTCATTACTTATTTATTGGGAGTCAGGTTTGGGGTGACAAGTCTTCTTTCCTTCCCACTGAATTGCATGTAATATATGAATTCCTCCTGGCATTCTGTTTTAACATGGATTGATTTCATGATCGTGTTTTGCTAATCATAGTTAAGTCCTAGTCAATTGGCTCAACTTCATATTTAGCCAACCTTATTCTGCTATAAAACAGTTTTGACTGCTAATATTAGCTAAGACATGCATTTATCAAAAATCATCAGTGCCAAAATTTATCAGTAAAATTCTATCATAGTGATTATCTGGGAGGCATCCTGGATTTGAAAGTCAGTGGATACAGAACCATATATGTCTTTCTGCTTCTGCTCTCTGCACTTCTTTTCCAGCAGTCTGATCCCAACAAACCCTTTTGGATTTTGCGCCTCGTTGTTGAGCAAAATGAGATGGATGCAGTGGATTTGAGGAAAGATACTGAGAGAGCAGATGAGATCAAAGCTATGAAGCAAGCTTGGGAGGCTGCAGAGCCAGGGAGAGCTATCAAGGTAACAGGGCTCATGTCCTTATTCAGTATGTAAAATGAAAAGTACTGAGGAACAACAATTTCCTATCTGGAAAAAAAAATTCCCAAGAGTGTTTTATCAGTTCCAAATGCAGGAAATGCTTAGAAGACACTGGATTAGGGAAAAAATGATAGGAAAGTGGCTGGATATACCTCATTTTTCCATCTACTGGCACCAATTGCTGGAATAAAATCTAAATTTCAAATAGACAAACTCTTGAATTCTACTATAAGCTTTTGAGTTAGGAAGACAACCTACGCTGATCCCAACAGCAGTAATGATGATTATAGATAACTGAAAACAAATATTTGTATACAATTTGGAAACAATTGTTCTTACATTACACTAATATATGAGAACAAAATTAGAAACCTAACAACTAAATCCTAAGAATGTTTACTCTGAAGTAAAGCTTGCTAATTTTAGCAAAAAATATTCCTATGTAATTGCATGTTTTTTTTTTTATGTGCTCAAGTTGAGCTCATCTTCTGGTGGTTTCATAGACACATCTATACAGTTTTCTTGGCAGCAACATGGAAGTAGTTTGTCCTTTGCTTCTTCTGGGTATTGTCCATGGGAGTGCAATTTTAATTTTTCCCTATTTCATTTTATCTATCGCTGAATCAGGAATTTCATTTCATCACAAAAATAATAAAATGCAAAATATTTTGCCATAGATTGTAAAGTATTTTAAATTCATTATTAAGTTAAAGGATCCCATTGAATTCATCGAGACATATATGAGTTAACAGACATTAAATTGTACAGAAAAGAAAAGAAAAGAAAAAAAAGAAAAGGCTTGCTACTTAACGTTTTATATATATGCCAAAATCTGATGTGGTAGTTTATTAATTTAGATTTACAATTTTTACTACAGGACTATATTTAGCCTTAACCTACTAATTATATCATCATGTTTTCCCTTCATCATTATTAGGCTCCATGGTTTACTTTAAACCCATTTTTCATGTGAAATATTAATTGAGCTGTTATCAGTAAGTCTGCCTCCAGCTGAGCTCAGCTCATAGAGTCTACCTGGACATGTCGGTATTTGGCATCAGTATGAAAGTGATTTGTCAGTGCCTTGTTCCAGCATTTTGTTTTACTTCCCAGCAAAGTTTACAGCTTTAGGATTTCCTAGTGGTCTTCCAATTATTGAATAGGTCTGACCCTGTTTACCTCTTTTGAGACCATTGAGGATCATCTAGTGCTACCGTTTGCTCTAATGGTGTTCTCAGTAGCGATGTGTATTAAATCCACAAAAATGTCCCTTGTTAAATGTGATCATTCGAATGCATTCACTGAAAGTAGAACACTTACAGGTGGATTTTAGGTCCACTCTAGAAGAGCTCTTCTTAACTAACAGAACATTCTTAACCAAGCATCAGCCTTACTGCAAATGCCATATACTACCAAGATCATTTACTTTCTGCTGAGAATTGATTGATTGATTGATTGGTTGATCATATTTGTATAGCCATCCATCTCACAAGAGGCTGACTCTGGGCAGTGTACAACACTCAATTAAAAAGAACCAATAAATACATCTAAAACAATCATTAAAACTATAAAAACTATAAAAAACACAAGCACACAAAACAGGAGAGGATAACCGTAGTAAGGGAGCCATTACAAAATCTCCCCAAGAATTACTAATCTGATCTCATTTCCAATTGCTTTAAAAAAAAATATTTTTTTTTTTGCTTTATTGTGTGTGTTAGTTTAATGTACCCAAAGTTGTTTTTATTACTCAACTGCTAACAGTTAAATAACCCTGAATTGCATAATCTAAGGCAAAAATATTGATGTTTTTGTTTCTGGTGCTGTCATTTCAAGCACAGCAGCTGAATGTTGTGACATGAATCATTCATCCATATGTTTGCTTTGATTCAGTGACTCATGTTTTAGTTGCCAAGCAAATAATAATTAAACTACTCAACAAAAACCTAAGTTGTGTTATTTCTGGCTTGGTGTACAGTAACCACATGCTACTAATGTAAACCAAATCCTAAACAAATTAATATTTAGAGAACTGCTACAACTGCATATATAGGCCAATATAGTTAAAGGGACGTCATAGGGAACTTGCCATGCTCTGAAACTAGAGATTGGGAGGCTGGACAGTCAGCTTCTTACCAGGAAAACAATCATGGCAAGGGAGAAGTAAATGTGATCTATTGTTGAATAGGAAGCTTGTTTCATCCTTTCTTGCCAGACAGAAATCTCAGCTTATGTGTTGGCCTGGGACCGAAGACTACATAATTACTGGCAAAAACACTAGCAAGAGATCAGCCCAACTTGAACTGGATATGTTGCCAGTTTATGGCTCACACATCTATTACAAAGGCATACTTTTCTTGTCACTTATTGACTCTTTGCTGTTTCATTCTACATCAGTGCTACAACTTTTTACATTGTACAACTTTGGCTATGCCAGTTGTGATTTCACATCCTTCTTGGTTTTGATTCTCCCAATTAATATTTAGTTAAAATTCAGACTAGCAATCAGGTACAGAGAAAGGGGAGGAGGAAATGTGAAAATATAGGTGGCCTTGTCTGTGCATGAAATATAGCTGTTGCCAAATAGTAGATTAGCAGTATCTCCCAGTATAACCTGTGTAGCTAAAACCATGGTTTGCATGATGCTGGAAAGCCAAATATACTGAGACCCCCATCACACATTTTGTTTGTTGGTAGCATTTTTCTTATGCTTTTCAGCAGAAAAGGGCTCCTAGAGAAGTTGTAATGAGATCAGTAATAAATCAGCCCCAGCTCATATGTTATAAGCTAAATGACACAACACAAAAGAAAAAGGGTAATAGTGACAGAAGATGGGAAAAAGCTAATTAAAGCTCCCATTCTTATGGTTATAACATTCTTATAGTGATCAGCTAGAATGGAAACAGCAGAATCTCTAGAATAAATCTGCATTTTCTTCTCACCATCTGATATCACTTGATGGACTAGTTGATATTAGTTCACATTTCAGAGAAGAACCAGAACACTGTCAGAATTTGAATATGTATTAGACCTTCTCCATATCTGTTTGGATTTGACTCTTGTTCTGCTTTCCTAAAAACGTGGATTGTAGACCCTCCAACTGTATCATATCTTGATGGCAGTTATTGACTTTTTTTTTTTAAATTGAGGCCTGTTTTGTCAGTACAGCTACTTTCAAATGGGATTGCTTACTCCGATCTTCATTTCTTCATTCCTGCTTAGTGATTGACCTTCATGATTGACCTTAACATTTGTTTTGCATTGCCTGGCCTTTTATTAATCTCTTTGAAGGACTATTCCACCATTGAATTTCTAAAATGAAACATGTAGGAGTTTCATGCCTGATTGCAGAGCACATTGACTAATACAACATTGTTGTTGGTCCTCTCATCACACATTTACAAGCAAGTCATTCATCCCCCAGCCATTATGAGCAAATTTCAAAAGAGAAAAGTACTTTGGAGGCATTCACATAGCAGCAGTCTGCAATTCCTTAAAACAGCTGCATTTTTTCTTAAAATATTTATCTATTATTCTTATCCAGGAATAATCTTTTCCTGGAATTGCATTGCAACCTCCATAGTTACAATGCAATTCAAAGAAAAGACCTCATTTGGCTTAAGAAATTGCAGAGAGATGCTACATGTAGGTCTCCACATATTCCAAAGCACCTTTTGCCTTCAAATCCAAAATGCTACACAGCCCTAATCTGAAAGTCAAGTTCATGCTTACTCCTATATGTGCTGGGGCACAGGATTTAAAATACTGTATCAAACTGCACATTTGCAAAACCATTCCTTATTTCTTAAGGCCTATGTAAATATTTTACATGGGAAGTGACGGTATATTCCTGTTAACTGAAAAAATCACCAATTGCAACTTTACTCTATTGTATCTTATACCTCATAGCCGTATGCAATACCAGTTCAACAGCCAGTCATTCAAGTTCTTTTTATATACCAGTGAATTGACTATTGAAATCATGCTGATGCCTTTGAGACCTTTCTTATGAAAACGTATTTGGACAAGCAACTATTTGAAAGGTTTATGAAAATTCATACTAGATTGGTATTAGTGTTAAGTTTTTTAAATTCAAGTTGATTGTAGAATGTAGTCATAAATATCAGATATACTGATATTTACGAATACATTAGGTCTTTTAGGCTACAAATCTGGTCTATCCATCTATAAAATCCACGTATCGTTCAATGTATATTCTGCAAACATTAAAATGTTTCTGTGTCAAAATGGGTTGGTAATTAACAGAACACGCAGGTTTTTTCTTCTAATTTTCTACAACAAATCTCTGTTTCCCAGGCTGCTCAAGAACGCATGCGTTATATTAACGAGTGCATTAAAAAAAGCATGATGGAAGCTGAGGCTGAGAGTGCCAGCCCTCCTGCAGGTTCAGGGGAAACAGGTATGCATGTGCAATCCAAGCATGATCTTAAGCATTCATTAAAGAAAAGCTTTGTCATGAAGATTTCAAAATCCTAGAAAGGAAAATATTGAATGTTCAGCTACAAAATAGAGTGGAGTGAGGAAATCAATATTTGCACTTATTATTTGTTGGATTATGCAGAATTAAAATTGAACTGACTTTTTTTCCTGTCATTTATTGGTAGAGATGAAAAGACAATAATTTGCTCCACACACAAAAAAATGGGGAAACTTTTTAAAAAATTAAGCTCTGCAGGCTCACAGCTTCACATACGTTACATTAATTCCTGTTCCATAATGTGTCATTCTACATAGCTTCCTGCTAGCTACACTTTCTGGATTGCCTTGGGATTTGACATAATTTCTAAAGTATCAATAGAAGAGAATATCTGTAGCTCAGGGTTGAACTGAGAAGTTCTTGGTGTGTTCTGAGCTTGGTTGTTTGCTTGCAGGTGTTTCATTACCCAACTAGGTAACATCATCAGTTCTAGTGAGTGTGGGGTTTGCTGACTGTTTATGTACAGTAGTTTGCCTTGCCAGTTTTGGTAGGGTTGTAGTTTCCTCCTTGGTGGTTCCTTGATTAGAGTATTGTTTTCTGCCTGATTGTTTGTCTGGTGTTGATCCCTGCTTATCTGAATGTTGGCTTCTGGAGATGATGTGTTCTAGTCTTTTTGTTTCCTTCCTAGGTTTTTTGTTGTCTCTTTTGAATGGTATGTAAATGTGGTTTATCTTTATGAGTTTATTGATGGCTGATTTATCTGAATGCCAAGCTTCCAGGAATTCCCTAACATTTTTGGATTTGGCTTGGTCTAAGATGCTAATAGTTTCCCAACTGAAACTGTGGTTGAGTCTGTCCATGTATTGTGCAAATAAGGAGTTTTCATTGCGTCTTCTGACAGCCAGTGTTCATGGATGTACTCTGTTAGTCTTCTGCCTGTCTGTCCTATATAGTGGCTACTACAGTTCTTGCACTGTATATTGTAGATGACCTCTGCTTTTTCTTCTTGGGCTACTGGGATTTTGGTTTGCTTAAGATGTTTTGAAGAGCGTTAGTTGGTTTGTGTGCTACAGTGATGCCATGTGGTTGTAATAGTCTGTTGGTTGTTTCTG